ACGCGACTCGATTTAAGAAGCGCCATCTCTTTCACGCCAGGTTCTAATATATTTTTTTCTTGCAAATAAAATTGCAAAATTGTATAAATTGAATAAGTTTTGCAATAATAATAACGAAAATAATTAATAGAATTTATAATAAATAAAAAAAATTGAAAAAAACACACAAATATTTTATATTATATGATATGGTTGTGGGTCTGTTTCACGTGGTACGTTGTACGTATAAGGCTTCATACAAGTTATGCCGATCGACAAATATTGCGCAGTCGTCCTCAAACATATTCCAGACATTGGTAATCGTGAAATGAACAAGTGGTTAGATGAAGAACTGACAAACGCTTGGACGGCAATCAAACCGATCATTCGCGAAAGTCGGAAGCACGGCCGTAAATCATATGGGATCGTAGTTTTCATATCAGAAGAAGACGCGGATGTCGCAATAAAAATACTCAACCAAATGTCGTATGGTCAGGCTTCATCGTTCGCCCATATCTATATGATACCGGTAAGCTGCACGCTCAGCGCGAATATACGAACAAATGGTGGGCCCAACAAGCTGGAACAAAAAAAAAGCAAGAATAGCTCATCCGAAGAAAGCGATTAGTCATAATATTTAAATTGATTTCAATCATTTTTATTTGACATTACTAATTAAAAATAAAACACATATACCGATTCAATATAGTAGATATTCCGAAAAGGGAATATTTCATAATTATAAGAGCATGATTTCTTTGTATTTCATTTGATCCGTAATCATTTGTCGGAAAATTTTGTATTTTCGTTCGTGATAATCACGAAGTGCTGGATTTGGCCAAACCACCTCACATCGACTGGCCATTTCTTTTGAGGCAACCTCAAGCGATGGGAACACTTTAGCCGCACACGCTGCCAACATTGCCGATCCAACAAGGACCATTTCACCTTCATCCGGTATCAATACGGGCATTACACACGCTTCTGCATGCGTTTCCACAAACAATTGATTCTTGCGCAATCCGCCACAGATTAATAGCGAATGAAATGGTTTGCGGCCGCTATCTTTTAATTGATCCAAAATGTGACGGGTACCATACTGAAACACATAGGTTTGATTTAGTAAAAAGGACTATCAATCGAAAAACAGAAAATGTTGAATGTCTCACAGAGAGTGCTTGAACAAATCCAAGATAGGTAAGTGCCAAATTATCAACGGTCGATGATATTGTTAGGCCGCAAATCATTCCTTTAATCGTTGGATCGCCCAATGGTGACCGATTCCCATGAAAATCGGGCCAAACATGAAAATCTTTTGTTAGATAATGAACACTGCTCAATTTCTGTGCTTCAGCCATCCGGACCAATTGTTGATTGAGATATTCGAAGACATGTCTAAAATTCACATAAAATGTTATGTTCAAAAAGTAAAATATAATAACAATAGTGTAGTGTATATACAATGTTCCAGCATTTTCCATTGCATCTTTATAGGATGGATGACTTTTAACAATATAGTCCAATAGAATGCCGGTTGCACTTTGGCCACCTTCATGTAAATAAAATCCAGGAAAAATTGCGTCTATGTATGGGCCCCAAATGCCTGAACAAAACAAAAAAAAAATCAAGTTAATCATTTGCAGCCGAAATATATTTTTAGTTCACACTTTTCCATACCACTAGGCCAAATGAGCTCTTTCTGTACAGACATGTGACAAGATGATGTACCACATATTAATGCCATTTTTGATGAGATTGCTTCATCAATACCATCTGCATGACATCCCAACAAGCATAAAGCACCCGCATGTGCATCAATCATGCTGCCGGCCACCGGTGTACCCACATTCAATCCCAAATCACGAGCAGCAGCTTCATTCAATCCATTACCGATTGTTGCACCGGGCGTTGTAACATTTCTGCCCAAAATTGCAAAATCATTTGCACACAACTCTTCGATTCCGAGTGTTTTGAAAAAATCTCGTGACCACGTCTGATTGAATCCATCATAATTCCATTTGCAAACAATTGAGCACAATGATCGTGTATCATCTCCCGTACATTTCCATGTGAGAAAATCGGGCAAATCAAATAGTTTTCCCAATTTTGACCAACATTTCTCATTTAAATTGCTTTTCAACCACATCACTTTCGGTATTTCCATTTCCAATGACACTTTGCCGCCCACACATTTCAAGAGCTCATGTTTGGTGGCATTTATTTGGTCGGCCTCTTTTTCAGCACGATGATCCATCCATAAAATGATATTTTGATTATTATCACCCGTTGTACTTACGGACAATGGTTTATCATTTTTATCAAGCGCAACCAACGAACAAGTGGCATCAAAACCAATTCCAGACACTTTTTCTTTTGGATAATTGCGAGTAACAATCTATTCGTATTGAGAAATGGATTTATTAATTAACTGAAACGACAGAGATAATTAATTCCAATGGACACCTGAACACATTCGCAAATTCCACTCCAAATGTCTTCGGATGACTGTTCATAGTGATCGGGAAGAGGATTCCATGTTTTTGTCTCTCTGACATGCACCTCATGTACGTGACCTGTTGAATCAATCAAAGCAGCACGACAACTGCCTGTACCGACATCAACACCAACAAAATACACTTTAGACATTTTCTTTTATTTTCAGTCAAATATCAATTATGCAAATTCTGACAAATGATTTAATGGAATTTTGGCCAGAATATGAACATTAGTACCGTAATGGTCAACGCAAATTGATTGAATATTTCCATATCAATTGACATAAACAAGTTCGGGTTTTGTTATTTTGATGTTTTTCAAATGAATAGCTACTGTGAGACCGTCAATAAGTGATCATCATCATTTCGATTTGATCATATATAATTTGATAAACGATGCTCATTTCAAACATAAAATCACGTTCTTTTGATTTATCGACGATAAACAAAATTCAATTCTAAGATATCGTTTGGTTTGAGAGCAGAAAACAGAGTTTTGTGAACACATTGAACCGGCATTACTGTAATGACCTTTGATAACTTTATTTATATACAGTGCAGTTTTTGGAGTCTTGAAGTATTTGTTGACGTTCATTCGTTAAATACTCCTGTATTCAAACGGAATTACTCCAATACATGCCCAATTTCAGTGTTTATTTCGTAATCATTTTTTTGTTGTTGACGTACAATTACATTCATATTGACGACCAATTATTATCAATGCGTTATCACCAGTTCAATATGTCATACGAATGCCAATAGTTTCTTTTCGCTTGTATTCGTTTTAATAAAGATGTCATGCATTTCTTTTCACTATTTTAAAAGTATTGAGACTTTTTTTAAATTAGGGATACTTGAATAGTTGAAGACAAAATGAAATGACATAACAAAATCTCATATTTATTTTCATACAATTTTAACAGTTTTCTTTAATCAAAATATTGCTTCTTTATCGATAAATGAGCTGTAAAAATGCCTTTTTCGGAACGGAGGAAAACTTTACATTGGGTATTAAAAACAAATTTATTAATTAAATATTAGTTACTAGGCTTTTTCATTTACGTATCTGAATCTAGTAAAGTAATTTGAATAATAAGCATTTTGTAGGATCCCTCCCATTACCTTCAAAAATAACCACTATCTTGTCATTCAATTCAACATTATTTGCCAATTGAAATGAATGATAATTAGAATTACAACAATAATAAGATATAACAATATCAACTTTCTCATACGCTTTGAAAGTGATGGAATCTTTAAATTTAATCACAATTTCTTTGTCTAATCTTTTTTTGTCTACTTTGGTAGTAAATGTTAGTGCGAGGTATTCTAAATTATGATTATTATTATTATACATTTTTACAGTCTTGTTTATCACCACTTCACTTATAAAATCTGTATCATAGATACCAAAAAGGATAAGTCCTTCCAAACTAATTCCGACGTTGCAGGTAAATCTGGTCTGTGCTGTCCTAGTACGGTTAATTTCAGTGTCCAATTCAGTAATCGTTCGATCACATTGAAGAGTAAGTGACGCTATTGATCGACGTGTTTGGTTAAATTTCTTTGGACTAAATTCGTTCAATTTACCAAATAGATAAAATAGTTCATTTGATTCATCTGGTGAGAAAAGTCCTTCGAATGTTTTATGTAATTTTGCAAATTCTTCGATTTTGATAAAAGAAAAACGAATTTGATATAGAGCATCGCCCAATTCAGCACGTAAATTGTCAATATTTCCATCGTCATTATTTTGAGCCTTACAGCAAGCCTTAGCCCACGAAATACATGCATCGAAGATTTTCATTTCTTCGCAGTCCAATGAATGCAGTTTTAAAATACTGATGAGTGTATTGCGATCACAGGTCATAAAATCGTCAGTTACAAAGACTTTCTTAGCATTCAAACTAATTGTCTGTTCACAAAATTCCCTAACGATTTCCAAATTGTGGAAAATGGCCAATTTATAGAATCGGCAAACATTTCCTACGGCTATTATGTCCAATAAAAACTTCTGACATTCCTTAACTAAATCGTCGACGAGTGATTGCTGTGCCAAATATAAAACATCCCCAATATTTTCGATTGACATAGTTAGTTCATCCAAATAGAAAAATTGTAAAAACTCTTCGAAAGCGGCTGATGATACACCGTCCACTGTAATAACATCTTTGTCTGGTAGTGAACCGTAGAACTGTGTTTCATATTTGGGGCTTAGTGCTGCCAAGACGCACCGGTGAGCATAAATCTTTTTCGAGTGCACGATGAATATAATATCTCCTGTTTCGTTTCTATCCAAATACAGTTTTTTCGATAGTTGTGCGACTATTGGATTCGAAAAGTACGCACAATCATTCCTTTTTATAACTGACTTATATCCAACGCAAGGAACCCGTGGCGTTTGAATAAATCGGTGTGATTTTTGATCTTTTACATTTGCAATTGAATAAAATATTTCATTGGTTTCATCTGGCAAGAAAAATCCTGGATACTTTCTATGTATATTGGTAAATTCTTCGATGGACATGGAACAAAATCGAATTTGATAAATAGCATCGCCCAATTCTGTGCGTAAATTTTCCGCTTTTGTATCGTCTTTATTCTTTTTTAAGCACGAGTTTCTTGCCCAAGCGATACATGCATCAAAAATTTTCATCTCTTTGTAATTCAACGAATTGATTTTCAAAATATGAATAAGAACCTCGTGAGTACAATTAATAAATGAATCAGTGATTGCCATGGTTTCAATGCTTATTTCTTTCTTGCATATTTCCTTTAGATTGATTAGTTCGTATGTAATAGCCATCCGATAGATAAAGTGCAGATTCGTCTTATTCATTCGAAATAAAAGAATTTTTTCAAATAAGTCTGCAAAGTCATCGGCAAATGATTGTTTTAACAACTTCAGAACCGGTTCAATACTTATTTCGTTCACAGTAAATTTATTGCAATAGAAAAACTTCAAAAAATTGTCGAAATCTGTTGCCGTTACATCTGCCACCTTAATATTGTCTTCGTATGCAAAAATACCGTAAAATTGATCTTTATGTTTGGAACTTAGCGCAGCTAAAATGCATCGATGAGCATAAATTATCTCTGAATTTACGTTAAATGAGACGTCTCCAGTTTTATTTCTATCGATGTGCAATTTCTTCAATGATTGTTTAAAGAGTCGGTTCTTACGGAGACTTTTATCAACATTTTGTGACGTTGAATTGGATGAGCCCATTTTATTCTAAAAATATGAATTTTAAAACATTTCAATTAACAGTTTAATTGATGATTTAGTTGAATTTAAATGTGGATAAATAAACTATGATAAAATAAACACAAACGTACCAGTTACAGTAATCTGAATTTCTATTGACTTTCTTCGTTGTTGAAAGCGGCAAAATAAACAAAAAAAGATCACAATCGAAATAAATGAAACTGAATCAATTGATTGTATGAATATTGTATAATCTATTACACTAGAGTAAAAAGGCACAATTTTTTATTATGAATCGTAAAATTGCTTACTTTTTTATGAAAAGTATTTCAATGCGTCAAATTTTCCTCATTTATCCACTTTTTCATTTGTTTTCTTTCTGATTTTGTTTTTTTACTCATTAGTGATGTCACTTTGACAACCGTTGTACTGCCTTGCTTTAACCCTATTAAAAAGAGTAACTTTTATAGGAATGATCGCCAGTGTAGAAACCATTGCTTATGAAAATGTCACAAGAAAAGTATTGTCAATTGTCGAGCGCTCATAATAATAAATTTGAATTTTGGTTTTACTCTTAAATTTGTTGTTTTTCATCAATTTCTTTTATTTAACATTTAAAATTAAAACTTATAAACTGCTTAAAATCGAATGTTATTACCAAAAAGGTGTAAAACAACTATCGTGTAACTGTTGAAATTTCCATAACATTTTTGACTAGTTTATTTCTTTGATTGGCCGATACGATTGTGGCCACTTGTTGATCCAAATACTTCTTTTGGAATTCGACAATGAATTTGTTGCACTGCATAATTGTAGCACCATTGTACAGAATGCGATATTTGACGATATGTTCACCCAGCTGGAAATCGAAACAAACAAAAAATTCATTATTTTTTCATATGAGCAGTGTGAGTGCATTTAGAAAGTATAGAAAGATCCTTACAACTGATGTCATTGGCAGTATACTGGTTACAAATCGATGAATTCTATGTTTAACACGAATGATTGCAATCCTTGTCTGATCGTTACAGTATTTGCACTTCAATCCAAATCGTATTGATGCCGCTCCCAAGTCACCGTAGTATTTTAACACCGACTTTGCTATGGACGAATAAAGTGCGCTATCTGAAAATGAAACACTGCCGGTAACTGATGTTTGCGGCTCAATTTTGACCACCACATATCTGCATAAAAAAACACATTTAATCGTAAAACACTTGCTCTCACAATTAAAAATATGAATAATGTCAATACCTGTATTTTACTCGAACCATTGTTTATTTGTTTGCAATTTGCTTAAATGTAGCGTGCACGTTGTTTAGTTTATTTTGGAAATATTTCAAATGTCATCATCATTGACAATTCACAAGCCATTGTGAACTAACCACACACATCGTGTGTGGGGAATTTGGTGAAATTTGTGAAACGACTTCTTACTTTCTGATGTTGTTTTGGATTTATCGAGGAATATTTATGATATTTCAATTGGAATGATTTTACTTTTTCGTATTGCAATGGGTCAAAATTTACGACCTCTCAAAAACATGTTATCTGGACGTTTCTGAGGTCAGAGAACCCGAATCAGGCCGTTGTGAGCATGGTTGTTGTGGGTCTGTTCCACGTGGTACGTTGTACGTTATCTTAAAATTTGTTAACACGACAACTCCCCCCCCCCCCAAAAAAAAGTTATTTAATATCTGACTGTACAGGATGATTGGGGGTCGCGAGGAATAGGAATCATAAGACTTAAACACTTAAAAATATCTATTGGAGGGTTTTTTGGCACGAGAAAACCGAATTCGGATCAAACAATTATGTTCTACAAAGTTGTTCAGAATGATGAGAGGAATTTTTTGGGTCAGCTGCCCTTCAACTCCCCTCACCCCCTAGGGGGTCAGGGGTCATAACCCCTTAACCCCTGATTTTTTTTACCTGAAACTCAAAAATTCGGCTTCAGCATGCCAAAAAATCTTTAGAAAATGTTTTTTCCAGATGCCCTCCGAGACAATATTGGAGGTAAGTTTTCAATTTTTGGCTCAAAAACGAATATTTTGTATGAGAGGTACTCTTAATTTTGATTGAAATTTCTCCAAACCCTCCGAATGTTATTTTTTTTGTGAAAAAATAACCTGTGCAAAGTTTTACGCCATTAAAGTAGCATACAGACATACAAAAATCCAATTTTTTTGTGACTTTAGTTATGAGAAGAGTGTTTCAAAAATAATTTTTATGGCAAAATTAACGTCAGACATATTTTTTATAGTGTTTTGTTAGAAAATAGAATACTTTCAAATGTCGTACAAATGGGTTCATCATGAAAGTGTGAAAAATCTTTTCTCGGGTACTTGTGCTATTAAATTAAAGAATATTTCAATGCCAAGAACATATTTTTTGGTCTCGAACTTTATGCAACAAATATTATTTTGCACTTGCTTTATAAAATTCGCAACTACCAATGTGCCGAAAAGTTCGTTTTACTCCCGTAGGACTCTTTATTTTTTTTTTTTTTTTCAGTCAAACATTTTCAGTCAAACATTTTCAAATTTTTTTCAATTTCATAATGAATATTTTAGGAACATTTTCACATTTTGAAGACTCGCACAGCGTTGAATAAAATTGAATCAGATATTCAATAGAAAGGGCTTGATGACGAATTTCATCACTTACAAGATCACCTCTTTCTCGTATTTAACGCGGCGAATCTTTCAAAGGCGTTTCAATTTACCAACTGAAATAATATAGTACATCGAAACTATAGCGAAAAAAATTGAAAACAAAAACCGAGAAAACTTACAAGAGTAAAATCTCCGTAATTGAGTTATCATGAAATTTTCTGATTTTGTTCAGAATAAACCATGAAATCGTGAATCAAATATGTTGAAAATTATAAACGCATAAAAAGGTGTCACACAACGTGTATGATTTTTTGTAAGTATTATTCAAATCAAATTTTTAAGATTCAAATAAATGATTTATTTGATTTGAAAGCATCATCTCAATTCATGATTTATAGAAATAATTCGTTGATTTGTCAAATTCAATCTCAAATCTAATAACCCTGATCGGGACGAATATGAAAAATTGTAATGAAAAAAAAAATAATAATTCCTCGGGTAGGTTTAAACAAATCCCAAATTGTTTTACTAATCTACTAAATGAAAATATTCATGGAAAATGTATTCATTTTTTGTTCTAATACCTAATGTATCTTACATTGATATAGAAAAAGTGCTGAACGTTTTAAGTATGAAGCGATTATGAGGAGCTTATCTTTTCTCGTAAACGGAACAATGGAAGGATTTGCAAAAGAAAATAATACTCTATTATTATCAAATACTTCGAAAAACGGTTCGAACTAATCTGAGTAACGTAAAAGATTCAAATTCTCTTTTACCTTGAAACAAACGCCGCCAAATTTTGTTATCATCATATTCGTGCATAATCAAAGTTCGTTGAATCGAAAACAGTTATGAAATTATGCGGTGTAATTAATTGGCGACATGCAAATAACTGTTATATTTTATATACTATAATAGCTCCTACTTGATACGCACTTCCCTGAAAATGTAACACATGCGTTGCCAGCCCAAGAAATCTTGGAGCCAGTCCAAAACGCATATGTTGACGCTTTCATCGAAAATCTCGTATCTCCCAGGAGGGTGGAATGGGCCATCTCATCTTTTGGCCCATTCAAATCGCCAGGCCTAGACGAGATATACCCAGTGCTTTTACAAAAAACATGGGATATTATCGGAGATATAATTGTATCCATATACAAGTCCTCGATACTTCTGGGATACGTCCCCAGCTCATGGCAAAATGTAAAAGTAACTTTTATTCCAAAAATAGGAAAAGATGACTATACGTCGCCGAAATCCTTTAGACCAATCAGTCTTTCCTCTTTCCTTTTAAAGGGATTAGAACGGCTGATCGAAAGGTATCTAAGGGAAATATTGGAGGCTTCGGGTGACCTGCATGGTAGTCAGCACGCCTTCCAGCAGGGTAAATCAACCGAAACGGCTCTCCACAAAATTGTATCCATGGCCGAGAAAACACTCTTGGACAAGGAATTCATGGTCAATACGTTTATGGATATTGAAGGAGCATTCGATAATGTATCCTTTGAAGCCATAAATAAAAGTGTAAGAGAAATTGGTGCAAACCAAATGATCCAAAAATGGATTAATTCGATGCTAATGAACAGAACCATAACCTTTCGGAATCGGGGGGATGAGGTGATAGTGCATGCAACGAGGGGGACTCCCCAAGGCGGAGTGCTGTCACCTCTCCTTTGGCTATTAGTAGTGAATGGACTCCTAAAGAGACTTCACGAAAATGGCTACCAGGCGATTGGGTATGCGGATGATCTCAGCATAATTTGTAGGGGAAAATTCCTGAGTACTCTATCAGACAGAACCCAGTCAGCAGTTAAGCTGGTCGAACAATGGTGTCTGGAGGTGGGACTCAGGGTAAACCCGGCAAAATCGGAACTCATGATCTTCACAAAGAACAGAAACCTCCACGGTTTTAGGAACCCAACTCTGTTCGGTTCAAGGATCGAAAAAAGAGATCATGTAAAGTACTTGGGTGTTATGCTTGACTCAAAACTTACATGGCGAAGCCACATTGAGTACAGAGTCAAGAAATGCCTGAAAGTCTTTTGGTGCTGTAGGTCTGCCATTGGTAAAGTTTGGGGTCTATCCCCTAAATGCCTCCTTTGGCTATACACAGCTGTTGTCAAGCCCATGCTCGCATATGGATCTTTTATCTGGTGGACTGGCACCGCGACTGCTAGTGCCAGAAAAAAGCTAAACCACCTACAGCGAGTAGCAAGCTTGTGTGTCACGGGGGCTATGAAAACAACCCCCCAAGCTTCTCTTGACGTTCTCTTGGGTCTACCAAGGCTGGAAGACTTTATAGAGTCTGAAGCAATGAAAACGGCCTATAGATTGAGAATGGAAATAAAGACTAGGACAAGTCCTAGAAATTTGCATGATGATGCCCTAACAAATCTTTTCAATATTGACAAGATTTTGGGGGCTCCTTCTGACAAACTAATTACGACCTCCTACAATTTCGATAGGAGTTTCGAGATTATTATAACAAAAAGTCTCAATGAATTCTTCCAGCAAAAACAATGGGCACAAAACTCCTTTTTCACTGATGGTTCAGTCAGAGAAACAGGTAGTGGATGCGGCTTCTACTGTGAAGCAGAGAACCTCACCTATTCATTTCCCCTGGGACAAACAACAACAGTCAAACAGGCGGAAATATCTGGAATTATTCATTGTGCATACAAAATACTGGGGGACCCAGTACGGGGAAATATAGCTATCTTCACAGATAGTTTGGGAGCCATAACTGATCTTAAGAATATTAAGATGCAAAATGGCTTGGCTATGAACTGTTACGAGGCACTCCAGCGCATTTCTGAAACGAACAACCTTAGGGTGGTTTGGATCAAATCTCATACTGGTATTCGGGGGCATGACCTGGCAGACGGGGCGGCAAAATTGGCTGCACACGATGCAATAGAGGGTCCAGAACCATACATACCAATTGAATATTCACGAGTCAAGAACCGATTAGCTACTTGGCTCAGCAACAGATCCCGCCTAAATTGGCAGGGTACGTTCTCATGTGAGCAAACGAAA